AAAAATATATTTTATTGATTTTTTACAGAGAGGAAGGGAGAGGAATAGAGAGTTAGAAACATTGATGAGAGAGAAACATTGATCAGCTGCCTCCTGCACACCCCCTACTGGTGATGTGCCCGCAACCAAGGTACATGCCCTTGACTGGAATCGAACCTGGGGCCCTTGTGTCCGCAGGCCGATGCTCTATCCACTGAGCCAAACCAGTCAGGGCTGAGCATAGTTTTTGATCAAGTGTCTGAGGATGTGGTTGTGATCTTGATTGGCCCATGGTAGTTTGTTGTAGGTGGATGCCTGTCTCAGAAGAACTGGATATTGCATATGAAACAGTGCTAATTTTTGATAATCCCACAGAGAAAATTTTTTATTGAACTCAACTCACTTGTTTTTCATATTGCTCCTGTGGTGCAAAGGATTGATTTTTGTACTGCGTTTGCTATTTGGCATTTTCTTCTTTGGTAAACAGTATATGTAAGCCTTAATCCTTTAACCTTGAATATGAGCCCCGGGCTATTTGATGGAAAAAGAACTTTTCTTTGTTCTATTATGTGGCCTGGTGAAGGATTGTATTAGTCAGGGTCAGGCAGAGAAACAGAACCAGTAGGAGATATACTGTATTATGAGACATATTGCAAGGAATCGGCTTACACTAGGCCCACCTGAAGTTCATAAGGCAAGCTGCAGGGAAAACAGAAACCTCAGGGACAGGCTGAAGCTTCTTTAAAGATTTTTAATCTGAATGAGGTCCATCCAGATTACCTAAAATGTGGGGGCTTTTAATCACATCGGCAAAATACCTTCACCTAGATTTGTGTTTGGTTAACTGGGGACTGTAGCCTAGCCAAGTTGGCATATCAAAAAGACCATCATTGCCCACCCCTTGTCAACTTAGCACCAGATACATCTCCTTAAACCATACTTAATCTCCAAATAAAGAAAACAAAAGGCATACTAACATCATACAACTTCTCCCACATACAACTGAAACATGCTAACCAATTTCCCCCAAGAGAATGTGAAGTCCTGGATGGTGTTCACTCTTCTTATTGATGTCCTATGATTTCAATGTTGTGATATAAAGGTAATTATTACTCATACATCTTAAGTTAGGTGATAAAGGAATAAGAGAGAAAAGAAAACAAAAATATTTGGTTACTATCCATATATAAACACACCCATAACAAAGTAAGGAAGAAATACTCATAATTATACAGTTCTCACCTCTGCAACTGGTCACATGGCTGTAGTTGGGATTTATAACTACTTTATTTCACTGCCCATCTCACTATACTTTGCTGTCAACAAATACTTCAACTGCTCATTGTTCTTTGTGTGGAAGGGTGGAGAGAGAGAGAGAGAGAGAGAGAGAGAGAGAGAGAGAGAGAGAGAATCATGTGTCAAACAAATGAATGGTCACTGAAAACAAATAATCTCCAAGGGGGGGGGGGCGGTGATGGCAGAAGGCTGAAAGTGGTGGCCTCTGGGCTGAATCAAGCCTCCAGATTCAGTGTTTGGTTAGCACAGTGTTTTATTTATTTATTTATTTAATTTTAATAATCTTTATTGTTGAGATTATTACAGAAGTACCTTCCCCACCCCATATCCCCTCTCTACCCAATTCTTGCCCCACCCCAGGCCCTCGCCACCCTATTGTGTGTGTCTATAGGTAATGCATACATGCATATAAGATCATTGTGTAATCTCTTCCCGACCCACCCCCAACACCCCTTCCCTCTGAGAATTATCAGTCTGTTCCATTTCCATACCCCTGATTCCATTCCATTCCCCAGTTTATTCTGTTCATCAGATTTTTTATTCGTTTGATTTTTAGATTCAGTTGTTGATAGATACATATTTGTTGCCACTTCGTTCTTCATATTTTTTATCTTTATCTTTTTCTTATTCTTCCTCTTCTTAAAGAATATGCTTCAGCATTTCATATAATACTGGTTTGGTGGTGATGAACTCCTTTAGCTTTTTCTTGTCTGTGAAGCTCTTTATCTGACCTTCAATTCTAAATGATAGTTTTGCTGGGTAGAGTAATATTGGTTGTAGGTTCTTGCTATTCATCACTTTGAAGATTTCTTGCCACTCCCTTGAGAAATCACCTGACAGTCATATGGGCACTCCCTTTTAGGTAACTAATTGCTTTTCTCTTGCTGCTTTTAAGATTCTCTCTTTGTCTTTAACCCTTGGCATTTTATTTTTATTTTTTTATTTTTTAAAATATATTTTATTGATTTTTTACAGAGAGGAAGGGAGAGAGATAGATAGTTAGAAACATCGATGAGAGAGAAACATTGATCAGCTGCTTCTTGCACATCTCCTACTGGGGATGTGCCCGCAACCCAGGTACATGCCCTTGACTGGAATCGAACCTGGGACCTTTCAGTCCGCAGGCCGGTGCTCTATCCACTGAGCCAAACCGGTTTCGGCTGGCATTTTAATTATGATGTGTCTTGGTGTGGTCCTCTTTGGGTTCCTCTTGTTTGGGGTTCTCTGTGCTTCCTGGACTGATAAGTCTATTTCTTTTACCAGATAGGGGAAGTTTTCTGTCATTATTTCTTCAAATAGGTTTTCAATATCTTTCTCTCTTCTGGCACCCCCATAATCCAGATGTTGGTATGCTTGAAGTTGTCCCAGAGGCTCCTTACACTAACTTCGTATTTTTGGATTCTTTTTCTTTTTGCTCTTATGTTGGGTGTTTTTTGCTTCCTCATATTTCAAATTGTTGATTTGAGTCTCAAGATCCTCTAGTCTACTGTTGAATCCCTGTATATTATTCTTTATTTCAGTCAGTGTATGCTTAATTTCTGACTGGTCCTTTTCCATTTTTTTTGGCATTCTTACTAAGATCCTTGAAAGTCTCACTAAGTCCCTTGGAGGTTTCAAGAAGATTCTTGAGTAACCTTATAACTATGGTTTTGAACTCTATATCCAGCAGTTTGCTTTCTTCCATTTCTTTCATTTGTGACATGTTTCTTTGTCTCCACATTTTGGCTGCTTCCCTGTGTTTGTTTCTATGTATTGGGAAGAGCTACTAAGTCTCCTTGAGTTGATAGAGTGGCCTTGTGTAGTAGGTGTCCTATAGGGCCCAGTGGTTTAGCCTCCCCAATCACCGAGGTGGACACTCTAGGTGCACCCCTTTGTGGGCTGTGTGCATGGTCTTGTAGTTGAGCCTTGATTGCTGTTGGTGTCACTGGGAGGAATTGGCCTCCAGGCCATTGGCTGTGGGGACCAGCTGCACCTATAGAGGAAGAGCTATTGTGCAAGAGACACCCTTATGGAGCAGGACTTGCTTCAGTGGGGCTTTGGTGCTCACTGAATCTGCTCCTTGAGTGTGTCATTTATGGATGTGTAGAGTTGTAATCTGGTATGGTCTGACACTGACCACTGGGGACACTGGCTCTGGGGTCTCCAAGGAGGTGCAAAGTCCACCACTGCCTCGGGTCACCCAGCAGGAGCTACAGAGAGATCTGCAGATTCCTCCTCTTTTTTTTTTAATATATTTTATTGATTTTTTACAGAGAGGAAGGGAGAGAGATAGAGAGTTAGAAACATCGATGAGAGAGAAACATCGATCAGCTGCCTCCTGCACATCTCCTACTGGGGATGTGCCCACAACCCAGATACATGCCCTTGACCGGAATCGAACCTGGGACCTTTCAGTCCGCAGGCCAATGCTCTATCCACTGAGCCAAACCAGTTTTGGCCAGATTCCTCCTCTTTGTATTGGGTTTGGAAGTGCCCAGAAGAGGCCCAGCTATGAAGCAAGGCAGGCTGGTGCTGATGCTGGGTCTTGAGCCTTTCATTGATAGGTTTTGGGCTCCCTGACCCAGCTGCAGCTTGTTTGACAGGTTTCAGCCTGAGAAAGGACAGGCCATTCATATGCAAAAGCTGCTGCACACAGCTTGGGTGGGGTTGTAAATTGGGTGGGGCAGGGTCTCAGGGAATCTCCAGGACGGAGCAAACAGAAATGGCTTCCAGTCAGCCTTGCAACTGGGGAGGTCCCAGCATGGGAACAATGACCACTGCGAGTGCCTCTGAGTTCTTTCCCCGATGCCAGACAGTCCAGTTTCTCCTTGTATGTGTCTGGGTCCCCCAGAGCCTCGTCCTGGTGCTAGAGCTCAGAGGAAGCAGGATCTTGTAAGTTCAATTTGTGTGCTAGCCTTTTAAGAGGAGCAACTTGATCTCCAGCAGCCTCAGTGTCACTGAGCCCCAATCCGCACTGGTTTTTACAGCCCATAGTTCTTACTGCCTGTTGGGAGTTCTTTTCCCAGCTTTAGGACCCTGGGTTGGGCGTCTGGTGTGGGGCTGGGACCACTTGCTCCTCCCGGCACCCTCTGCAGATGTGATCTCCCTCCTAATTAAAAAAGTGGCACTGGTGGATGCCGGGCCAGCCCATTCCATGCCTCTGCCTCTCCTCTCAGTCTCCGTGTGCTTTCTTCTTTACGTCTCTAGCTATAGGACTTCCATTCAGCCAGATTTCCAGCAGTTCTGGATGATGGTTGTTCTGTATTTTAGTTGTAATTTGGTGTGGTTCTGGGAGGCAGGAGTTCAGGCATTTGACTACGCCGCCATTGTGGTTCTCACTGATTGTTCTTTATGGTAATTTTAGCTAGAGCCTCAATGTGGCAGCGGGTACCTGTTGCACCAATAGTGCTGGAAATGGCCTAAAATGCATAGACAGTCCTAGCAGCTTCCTGAGCACAGAGCTGGGGAGTGGAAAATGTAGAATAGATTCTTTTACTCAGGTGAGAAGCAGAGTTATAGCATTCAAGAAGGAGATACAGGAGTGCTCGTCAGTCACTGGGTACCATTTTAATGGCTCCTCTCTCAGGACCCTGCCATTGGAAGCTTGCTTGTTGATGGTACCTCAAACCTCTGGCTTGTTCCTAAAAGCTCTTTTTGTGATACTGGATCCATGATCCACTGTCTTTCTGCTTTCAGGACTATGTACTTGAGAAGAAGATTCCTCTGATACAGCAAATCTGAGAAGGAGAAAATGTTAAACCTTAATGTCTTCCTACGTTAATTGACCAAGGTCAAAGGATTTCAGCCTGTCTTTGGAAATGCAATCATGGAGGTGAGTTCATGTTAAAATTTGGGCGTTTTTGTTTTGCTGCCTTTGCATTATTTGAAGTATTTTAGACTGTCATTGGATATTCATTGTAAAATATCTAGTGAGTAATGTTGAGGATTGAGTGGAACATTATTTGGGATGGGAAACAGAAAAGGCAATAGAAAGAAAGGAAAACAACCTTTTATAAGTTGCTTTATTTGGCTATAGAACTTCCTTTCCATGATTTAGCCTGAAGTGAGGATCTATATGTTCTGTAGTTTGATTTGTGGTTTCAAAAAAGTCACTTGATTCTAGAATTGCATGGTTCCTATCGATTTCTTTGCTTCTGATGTCAGAATCTGACTTTCAGAAGCAATGTTGACTTGAGTGGAAATATAGCCAGTGATTTCTAAGAAGTGCTTATCTCCTCAGAAGCGAAGTGCCTTAGGCCAATTGGGCTGCTATAACAAAATACCATAGGCTGGATGGCTTATAAACAACAGAAATGTATTTCTTACAGTTCTTGAGGCTGGAAATCTGAGATCAGGATGGTCAGGTGAGGGCCCTCTGTCATTGTGTCCTCACATAGAGGAAAAGGCAAGGGGTCTCTATCTGAGGTGTCTCTTTATAAGGGCATTAATCTCATTTTCAGGGCTCCACCTCATGACCTAAGCACCTCCCAAAGGCCCCGTCTCCTAATACTATCTCATTGGGTATTTGTTTCAATGGATGAATTTTGGGGAGACACAAGATTCAGTCTATAACCAGAAATATATGTTAAAAACTGGGTGGCAGCCTGCAAATGAAAATATGCTGTGCCCAGGAGAAAAGGTATCACAATCACACAGTGTTAGGCACATTCTTACACTCCATCATGCTCTGCTTGGGGCTCTCGCCCCTTCCGGTGATTGTCCTGTACTTTGGCTTCCAGTAAACCGCCTCACCTAGTTTCCAGTGGACCACCTCCACCTGGCCTCCACCTGCGCCTGGTTACCTTGACTGACCCTTACAAGACACATAAATATCCCGCTCCCCCTACTCTGCCCCACTGATGCCATTTTGGTCTCAGCCCTTCTGCTAGCAGATGTAATAATAAATTTATAATTCTTTACCCCTTTTGGCCTTGTGCAACATCCTTCAGCAACCCTAACACACAGCGAAACAAACATTGCAAATACATCTTTTCATCCATTTCAGAGGTGCCCTCACCATTCCTTCATTTATTAAATAAATATTTGTTAAATGCATGTCATATATGTGCAAGGCATTGCTCTGGACATTTGGGATACACCAGTGCACAAAACGGGGAAGGGGGGTGGAGGTTGGTGGTGGCAGGAAGCAAAATTCTCTGCCCTCTTGGAACTTACACTTTCGCATAACAAATAAGCCAATAATCCTGTGAAAAAGAAGGCTGTGAGCACCAGGGAAAGAACACAACAGGGTGGGCAGCAGTGGCTGTGTGGGGTGGTGGGGAGGATGTGGGGGACTGGAAGGGTTGAGCAAACTGCCCAAGGTGTGTGGGCCTGGCCTGGTGGTTCCTCCTCAGGTGAATTAATGAACAACCAACTGACCAGCACAACTCATTGCCTTCTCATTTCTTTCCTTTCCTCATTTTACCTTGGATCCTTGACATTTCCCCCTTGTTTTTCTCTTTCTTGACTCCTGGGCTTCCTATTCTAATATTGAGTGGTTTTCTTCTTCTTCACTCTTTTTCTTGTTCTGTACTCCATTTTTTAGGCTATTATTTTTTCCTATCATCCACACACACTCCTGTCTTATTCTCTTCCTCTTTCCTTTGAATTTCTCCTTATTTTCCTCTTTTTACCTTCCTCTTTCTAACCTGTCACACTTTGCCAAAGACCTGAGTACTCAATTGTAGTGAAAGGAGCAGCTGGAGGAGTCGTTTGTGAGAGGGTCCCTGGGTAAACCAAGCCTTATCACCTAGGGTAATGTGAAATACAGTCTAGTTTTTGAAGTATTTAAAAAAATCTTTATTTTTGCAAATATTACAGATGTCCCCCTTACTTGCCCCCATTGTTCACCTCCACCCAATTCCCACCTCCACCCCCCAGGTCTTCACCACTCTATTGTCTGTGTCCATGGGCAATGCATATATGCATAAAAGTTATTTGGTTAACCTCTTCTTAACCACCCCCACCCTTCTCTCTGAGATTCCATGTTTCCATGCCACTGGTTCTATTTTATTCATCAGTTTATTTTGTTAGATTCCACATATAAGTGAGATCATGTGATATTTGTCTTTCTCTGATTGGCTTATTTCGCTTAGTATAATAGTCTCCGGGTGAAGACTGATAAAAATATCGTTTTTATTAGAAATTTATTTCATCCAAAGTAAAGCAAGAAGATCATGGTAGGTATAGTTTTCAAAATTTATTCTGCAGTAAAACAGGCTTTGAATCCAGATAAGTAAGCAAATAGTACACACTCACTTTCTCTCTCTCTCTCTCTCTCTCTTTTTTTTATGGAGTACAGAATTCTTTTCCCTCCACACTAGAGGGCAGTAGAATTAAAGTGAATTTTCCACAAAGCTGGGACGAGGATGGTCTATCTGTCTATCTCTATCCATTTGTCTACATTGGTAGTTGGCAAACTATCGCCAAGACCAAATCTGGGCCATCACCTGTTTTTTTTTAAATTGATTTGGAGGAAAGAGAGCGAGAGAGAAATTGATTTTGTTGTTCCTCTTATTTATGCATTCATTGGTTGATTCTTGTATATGCCCTAACCAGGTGGTGATCAAACCCTCAATTTGGCATATTGGGAAGATGCTCTAACCAACTGAGCTACCCGGCCAGGGCCCCATCACCTGTTTTTGTACAGACCCAGTTAAGAAGGGTTTTTAAATTTTTAAGCAACAACATTTTAACTGGTTATACAGCTATCTAAAAAATATTTTTTATTTTTGTCTTTTGGTTTGCAAAGTGTAAAATATTTACTATCTGGCCCTTTACAGAAAATAATTTGCCAACCCAGGATCTGCCCCCCCACACACAAAGACACACACAATCTTGCTGAACCATTTGAAGGCAAATTTCAGACATTATAATATTTCTCCCTCAAATACTTCATTATGTATCTCCTAAAAATAAAGTAATATTCCTACTTACCCAAAGGCCATTATCACAATAAAGAAAATAAGCAATTATTTTATAATATCATAAAATAGCCATCCATATGCAAATTTGTGATTGTATTTGCCAATTTTACACAATGAAAATGTATTAGCTTTGTAATAGTAAAACAAAACATTTAAAAATCAGATTTTTAAGTAGTCAACATGAATTTTTAGCATCAATTGCATTATACAAGGGAGTTAGAAGAATTGCTCTGTGCAGCTACTAGCCCTAGTCATCTCAGATTGGAATTAAATATGTTTGCAGATCAAATAGCTCATATTCTGCAAAGCATTCAGTGTGGGTGGTGATGTTATTGTTTGCTGCAGGTGTAGGCAGGACAAGGTAGGATGGTGTGTAATCTTTTCTTTGTATTTGAAAACATAATCCCTAACATCTCTAATAATTTTGAAGCTGGGTGATTGGTACATAGGAATTTGTTATACTATTTCTTCTGACATTTTTGTGTATAGTTGAAAATTTCCATAATAAAAAATTATATGTATGTACACATCACTATAGTAATAGACTTGATTCATGACCTAATCTATTAAGGCAAAGTTACATTTAATGTATGTCAGAACCCTGATACTTAGATGTGAAAACTGTGTGTTTATATGAACCTTTTATTTTAGAATAGGAAACATGGTAGTTATGTCAAAACATAGAAAGATTGTCTTAAAATTTGGATGGATTTTGAGAAAAGGCTACTTTGTCCTTTGGGAGCCTTGTTTTTGTAAACATTCCATTTTTTGTGGGATGTGAATCATGTGTTGGAATCACCTGATTTAGCTGTGGTATAACTAAGTCTGGAGGGTTTAAAATTCTCCACCACCAATCATGATTATGGTTACATGAGATTTGTGTCTTGAAAAAAGAGATCTGTGTCCAAAAGCTCTGGAATTATTTAAACCATGTACTTTGTATGCTCATCTTTGTTCTGTTGAGCCATAATGTTATGTCTGCTTTTACCACAATGCTTTTACCACAATCATATGGATAAAGAACTGGCAGGTCAGGTCCTCTCCCATCATGCAACAGTGTAGAAACTGCTGTATAAAGTCAGGCGGAAGATTAAACAAATTCTTCCTTGCTTTATGAAGAGCTCACAGATAAATATTCCAGTATAATGCTTTGTTATTTGATAATAAAAAATTTAATAATAAAAAATTTGGAAGAGAGTTGTAATGAGCCCTTGAAAACTCCTGTGGTTAAAAAATGTGGTACTATTATATTTTTTTGCAAATATAAGACATGCAGATTTTTTATGTGCTCAATGAGATACAAAGAGTAAAGTTATTATGGAGTGTTAAATTCAGGGCAGTCAGATATGCTTGAATTTGCATAATAATATTCATTCATTTGGAAAGAAATTATCACAGAACATTTTCTTTCCATTGAATAAAAAATGTATATTTATTACCTATCCCTTTTGTATGTTCTCCTTATTATATGGCAGTCTATTTCTGCTTGTATTACATAATCTGGCACCTCTTTATTATCCTATATAATAAAAGCCTAATATGCTAAGTGTCTGGTTGTCCAATTGGCCGTTCAGCCAATCAAAGTGTAATATGCTAATGATATGCTAAGGCCGCTCAACTGCTCACTTTGACATGCACTGACCACCAGGGGGCAGGCGATCAATGCAGGAGCTATCCCCTGGTGGTCAGTGTGCTCCCACAGGGGGAGTGCCGCTCAGCCAGAAGCTGGGCTCACAGCTGGCGAGTGCAGCGGCAGTGGCAGGAGCCTCTCCTGCCTCCATGGCAGCACTAAGGATATCTGACTGCTGGTTTAGGCCCACTCCCCGTAGGAGCCGTCAGTTGTACATTCCCTAAGGGCTCCCAGACTGCGAGAGGGCGCAGGCCAGGCTGAGGGACCCCCCCCCCA